CCCGCAGTCTGTTCCCACCATCTCGCCGACCATTGGTCGAAGGTGCAAAGGGGAGGGAGGGCTGCCCAGTCGGCGCTTGCCGCCTCCGCCTCTCTGCTCTCTCGCACATCGAGCGGAAGCTTTGCGACGAGGCGCTTGCCGAACCCATCGCCGAGGAAAGCAATTCTGCTGCAGGTTTGAATGGGCGCCCCTCTGGCGTCTGGACGGCGGGGGGCGGCAGCGGGGCGGCGGCGCGGCGGCGTGGTGGGGGAGGCAGCTCCGGCGCCAGACGTAGCTCCAACTCTTAGAGATCGGCGTGGTTCTGGATGGTTTTGGCGAGTGCGTTGCCGCATTCCCCCCTGAGGGCTCCGACGACGCTGGCGCCCCCCAGGGGGCTTCCAGGGCTCGTGCAAACGGCCGGACGATCTCCCTATCCAACTCGTGTAGCAGTATCCTCGCCAGTGCTATGGCGTCTTCCCTTGCTGGTGTTGCGTTCATGCTTTCGCCTCCTGTCAGAGTGGGTGTGTAGCTGGTCGTCACATTGTTGACAGTATCATTGACCTCGACAGGCCCCTTTTCGAGTGCGGCGCCATCCCTGGCAAGGAGGAGGGTGGCATCTGTTGCCTCGGTCTTACAGCCGCGTTCCCTTCTGTTCACCGGTTTTGTTTGTTTTTACGTTCTTGGGGGAATCGAGGTGTCTCGCCAGCTCGTCGTCGCTGCCCGCGCAGTTTATTCCGACACCTAAGTTATGGTTTTGCTTTACGGTTGCCGAAACTATAGCTTCCGACTCGAGCGCGGCACCAAGCGGGGGTGCCCATTGAGCGGGGTCGCCATCGCCCTCGTGATGGACCCCGTCGGGCGCCGCGTGGGAGACTGTCATCCAATTCCAAGCTCGCTTCGTGCTTTCGATGACAACGTCGGCTTGGCTAGCTCCGACTTCTACATCTGCTTGCCAGCCATTTTGCCCATGTGGGCCCGTGCTGCTGGAGCAGCTGGGCTAATCCTCAAGTCGCCGAATACCGACTTGTTCTTCCTTCCTTCAGGCTCACGTGACCAGGGAGTTCCTCATGCGCGGTGCTCGGATTCGGACGCTCGAGATTGAAGACTGCGCGCTGTGCCTTGGAGTATTCTTGGGCTCTGGGGCTGCTGACAAAGTCTTGGAAACGCCCATCCAGAAATGCCGCGCTCGTGGTCTCCGCAGCGGTTCCCTATGCGACATGCGACTCCTCCACTGCTAATCGCATCGCCCGCTACGCGCAAGGCATCTTTCTTAATTCCTCTTGCTTCGCGGGGCGCGCGTCCGGACCGCGGAGAGCACGGGCGTTTGAGGCTTCCTTGGAGTTTGCTGTGCGCTTCTCGGGGGCACTCGGGGGCCAGCTGGGGCTTCTCGGAGGCCCCTTGTTGATTCCTCGGCGGCGCGGGCGTTGCCGGGGGAGAAGGGGGGGGGCCGGTCGCGTCTTCAGTCGGGCCTGTCCTTGTGCAGGGGGGATATTCAAAAATAGTATGAAAACAGTCTGGGGACGATTGTCGTAGTATTTTTTGACCATTTTGAAATATTTTTTTGGGGGGGGGGCATTATTGATTTTTCGTCCAAAATCCCCCTGTAGGAAGACAGGCCCGACCTAAGTCGCGTCGCGATTCGCGCCCGCGGTGGGTGGGCGGAGGGGCCCGGTTAACGTTTGGGCTGGGAGCGGCTCGTCTTGGGGCCATCTGGAGCTGTCTCGCGACCGCATGGGGCTGTCTCGCAGCAGTCTTAGCCGCTGTGGGGCCCTCTTGGACCTAGAGGCAAATGTATTTCTTTCCATGCGTTCTGTCAGCCTCTCCCTCCGGCCGCTTCTTTTTCCATTCCTCGTCTACGGCGCGTTGCGTCGAATGAGTTGCTTCCGCGCGCGCGCGCGTTTGGGTTTTGGGGCGCCGCCCGCAAAAAGTCAGCAAAAGGCAGCGCCAAGTTCAAACTCCGATGAGCATGTATGCAATTGCGCGGGCTTCTCGGTGGTTTCTTGGGGCCGTTAGGGGGCCTCTTGGAGGTCTTTTGGAGTCTCTTGGAGGTCCCTGGGGGCCTCTTGGGGCCTCTTGAGGACCTCTTCGGGGGATCTTGGGGGGCTCTTGCGCCTCTTGGCCCCTTCGGGGGTTCTCTTGAGGCCCTCTCGTGCCGTCTTGGGGGCCTCTTGGCCCATCTTGGAGGCTTCTTGGGGGCCCAAAGACTCGTCCTTCTCGCCCTCAGCCTACTCCTCCTCTTCCTTCTTCTCTTTCTCGTCCTGCATCCTCCTCCTCCCCCTCCTCCTCCTCCTCCTCCTCCTCCTCCTCCTCCTCCTCCTCCTCCTCCTCCTCCCCCTCCTCGTGTGTTCCTCTAGGGCCGCCTCTTGGCCCTCTCGGGGACCTCTTTGGCCGTCCTGGGGCACGTTTGGAGGCTCCTGCGGCCGCCGTGGCCCCTCGAGGGTCGAGAAGCGCGAGAACGTCAAACTGTCTTGGGCGAGGGGCCCGACCGCGTGCGGCTGTGAGTCCTGTCGCTGCGGGCACCGCCTGCGGTGGATCTACCTGCGGGGCTGCGATTAAGTCGGGCTTGTCCTTCTACAGGAGGAATATTCAAAAATAGTAAAAATTATCCCAGTGCGACCCTACCTAGGAGTTGGAACCCCTGGGAAAGCAGCATTAGTAGTAACAGTAACGCTAAGCTAAAGCTAAGCTAAAGCTAAGCTAAAGCTAAGCTAAAGCTAAGCTAAAGCTAAGCTAAAGCTAAAGCTAAGCTAAAGCTGAGCAACAGCTAAGCTAATGCTAAGCGACAGCTAAGCTAAAGCTAAGCTAAATCAAAGCTAAAGCTGAGCAACAGCTAAGCTAAAGCTAAGCTACAGCTAAGCTAAAGCTAAGCTAAAACTAAACTAAAGCTAAGCTAAAGCTAAGTTACAGCTAAGCTGCAGCTAAGCTACAGCCAAGCTAGAGCTAAGCTAAGACGAGATAAGCTAAACCAAGCTAAGGGGGCGCTATGCTAAGCTATGCTAAGCTATGCTATGCAAAACTGTGATATGGTATGCTATGCTGTGCTATGCTATGCCATGCTATGCTACGCTAAGCTAAGCTAAGCTAAGCTACATTAGGCTAAGCTAGGCTAGGCTAAGCTAAGCTAAGCTAAGCTAAGGTAAGCCAAGCTAAGCTAAGCTAAGCTAAACCAAGCTAAGGTAAGCCAAGCTAAGCTAAGACGAGATAAGCTAAGCCAAGCTAAGGGGGCGCGACTGGGGGAACCGCGGGGCGGGGACTGGGGGAACCGCCCGGGGCGTGTAGCACTGCCCGGCCCCTTTAAGCTAGAGAGTAAGAACCCTTCTAGGCAGAGCCTAGGTAGGGAAAAAGCTTGGGACGATTTTTTTGTCAATGTTTGGCTATTTGGGCGCATTTTCTGGGTATTTTATAATTTTTCGTCTAAAGTCGGCCTGTAGGGGGACAGGCCCGACTTAAGGCTACGAAGCGTTTGAAGGGTCTACTGACATGGGGAAAGCCTGCCATGCGGGCGCTGCCACCGGGGCCTTCGGTGGAGCTCCCCATGGGGCCGCGGAGCGTGCGGAATGGGCGTGCCGACTCGGGCGCGGGTGCGCCTTGCGGGCAGTGCCGCTGGGGCTTTATTGGGCCACGAAGCGTGTGAGGGGAGTGCCGACTCGGGTGCGAATACGCCGTGCGGGCTGTAACGCAGGGGCCTTCGGTGGAGCTCCCCACGGGGCCGCGGAGCGTGCGTAAGGGGCGTGCCGGATCGGGCTCGGGTGCGACGTGCGGACTGTGCCGCTGGGGCTTTCGGTGGAGCTCCCCACGGGGCCGCGAAGCGTGTAAGGGACGTGCCGAATCGGGTGCGGGTGCGCCGTGCGGACCGTGCCGCTAGGGCCTTTCGGTTGAGTTTCCTACGGGGCCGCGAAGCGTGTGGGCAGTGTGCCGAGCCGGGTGCGGGTACGCACGCCATGCGGGCTGCGCCACTGGGCCTTCGGTGGAGCTCCCCATGACGGTCATCATAAGCAAGGTCAAGGCTCACTCGGCTCGGGCATAGCGCGCCAAGACGAGTGCCAGGCTCTGGGCAGGCAGCGCGGCGGCAAGCGAGCACGCCAAGCTCGGAGCGCAGCTGTTGCAGCACACTGGCTGGCAGAGGAAGCCATACATCGAGACCCTTAAGCCAGTGAGTAACATGCTCCAGTTCGCGGCTCGTGTCGAAGGGGAGTCCCACGAAGGGAAGGACACGTCCAGGGAGAAGGCCCAGACACACCCGGAGCCCGAAGGTCCGCCTGTCGAGGTCCCACCACCACCTCCTCCTCCTCCTCCTCGGAGCCTTCCGCCTGTTCTGGTCGAAGAAGGGGTCCCTCAGAATTCAGGCAAGGAGCATGGGCCATCATGTTGTGATCCGTGCTTCTCACGTGTTCTGGAAATCCTGCGCTTGTTATGCCACAGCGTGTTGGCTGGCCCGCAAGGATCAGCGCTGCCAGCCAGGGAGTTCAAGGACTCTCGGAGAAAGGCTGTCAAGGTTGTGGGGCGGACGTCACTGGACCGCAGGTCCCCCCTCTAGCGCAGCACGCCGTATAGCTCGGACTGGCCGCGAATAGCTAGCATGCACCCCCGCCAAGGCCCCTTACACGCAATGCCCCTAAAGAAGCAGGAAACAGTCCTCCTCCTCCTCCTCCTCCTCCTCCTCCTCCTCCTCGTCCTCCCTATCCTCCCTGTCCTCCTCCTATTCCTCCTCCTCCTCCTCCTCCTCCTCCTCCTCCTCCTCCTCCTCCTCCTCCTCCCCCTCCTCCTCCTCCTCTTCCTGCTCCTCCTCTTCCTCCTCCTCTTTCTTCTCCTCCTCCTCCTCCTGCTCCTTCTCCTGCTCCTCTTCTCCTCCCCCTTCTCCTCCTCCTCCTTTTCCTCCTCCTCGTCCTCCTCCTCCTCCTCCTCCTCCTCCTCCTCCTCCTCCTCTTCCTTCTCCTGCTCCTCCTTCTCCTCCTCCTCCTCCTCCTCCTCCTCCTCCTCCTTCTCCTGCTCCGCCCCCCCCCCGGCCGCGGCCGATGCAGGCGGGGCTGCCGGGGCCGCCGCGGTGCTGTACTGCCTGATAAGGGACGACCGCGAGCAGAGGCCCCCCTCCGCCGCTGCTCGCCAGGAGGAGGAGGAGGAGGAGGAGGAGGAGGAGGAGGAGGAGGAGGAGGAGGAGGAGCAGGAGGAGGTCCAGCCTGCGCGCGTCCAGGACGGCCAGCCTCACATACGGTGGGGGCGTTCCTTAAGGAATGCGCCCAGGAGGCTTTGGACCCCGGAGGGCTCCTTGTCCGGTGAGGGCGGCGAGGAGGTCCGTGGCCGAGCCACGGTTCGAGTTCCGCCAGCTTCCAGACCCTGGATTCCTTATCTGAGGGTTCCTTGTCCATTGCCTCCACCGTGCTGAAGTCGGCGGCGAGCGAGGGGGGAAGTGAGAAGGAGACGTCCTTCTCAGAAGTCGGCGGGACTTTTCAGAAGCCCTCGCGCCTTCTGAGAGTCTGTTTGACTCTTCCGAGAAGACTTAGAAGACTTCTCAGAAGGTCGGGTGACTTCCGAGCCTTCTGAGAAGGTCTTCTCCTTCTCACTTTCCCCCTCGCTCGCCGCCGATGAAGGACAGTAGTCGGTTTTTGAGGATCTCGCTTGTTTTCTGTTGAAGGGGAGCTGATTTCCAGCCCCTGTGGGCAAGAGGCACCCAAGAGGGTCCAGCTGGCTCCAACGACGAGAGATGATGATGAGAGGAAAAGGGGAGGAATCCAGGGGGTGTTTTGGGGCAGTACTGCGGGGGCTTGTAGGCGGTGGGGGTATTCAGTGTTCTGTCGTCCTATTCTCACGCAGCGATGGGGCCAACGTGAGAAGTGGGCCGACCCGTTGCCACCGCTGTCGTGAAGCTGATCTGGATCAGGTTGCCGTTGGGGCCCCCGCCCCCCCCCGGGACTGCGACATTTGCCGAACGGTGGCCAACTGCTCCTGTCGATGAAGGTTGGACAGGAGCGAGGACGGGGGAGGGGAACGTTCGCCGACGCTTCAAGGTGCGCGTTACGATTCCATCCAGGGCTGCCGCGGCAGCAGCGGGTGTTCAGGGCCGAAGTACCCTGGCCTGGGCATCCTGAAATTTGGTGTGGGCGGCGCCTTCTTCCCTCCGTGCCATCGTTCCAGGCCGCAACGCTTTGATCCCCGAAGCCGTGTATACTTCACAGCACGGACCCCGGGAGGTCTGGACCCTTCCACAAACACCGATTTCTCAGCCCGAGTCGTTTTTGGCGGCCCCGAGACCCGGCCAAGGGCCACCCGGAGGCCGACAATGGCCGACTGCCTCCCGTCGTGATTCCTGGCCCGGCGCGTTTCCTTCAAGGACTTCCACTCCCTCTCTGCTCGCGTGCTCTGGCACACACGTTCAAGGACTTCCTGTTCTGAGCGTCCTCCCCTCCCCCCCGCGCGCTCCTCTCCTTTCCGTCGCCGGCCGTGCCAACTTCGGCCCCCCCGTGCGTCCCGTTGCTGCCCCCGAGCGCGGTGAGGACTCGCGCTGCTGCGACAGCAGGAGTCACGACGCGAGAGGGCCGGGGTTCGTAGACAGCCGCGGCCAGCGAGCAGCGCGACCTCTGGGCACGGCACCCCGCAGGCCCGCGCGATCGGCCCTCCGCGGGCCGTTGCGAGAGCCTCCTCTCCCGCTGGAGCGGGGAGGGCGTTCCAGACGTGCTCGCGTCGTGGAGAGAGTCACGACGAGAGGTTCTCGGCCGTTGTTTGCCCACCGCACGTGTTGGCCGCTGGTCCAGCCTTGCTGCTTGACCGCGCAGGTGGTGGAGGCGAAGCAGGTTGAAGGATGGAGGCGAAGGAGGTAGGTGAGAGATCGATTCCATACCCGATGGTGGGGCTCTCACGGCTAGGCTTTCCCTGTCCTTGTCATGGCCACACGGCGCTGATGCTGAAGGTGCTCGTAGTAGTGCAAAAGGGAGACTTTCCTTGATCAGCTTCTGCGTCACCTTGTCCATATGCCAACATACTCCAGAGCTTTACATTCGAGTGGCCACTCGTCGTCGCAATCAAAATCGCTAGATTGCCCGTGGTCATGGGGATCACCTGCTTCTTGCGGCCCGCCTTCATGATGCTCACCTTCTTAATCGGATTCGGTTTCTTCATGGCACTTTCAGTCTTCCTGCGGTTGTCCTTCTTCGTAAGGGGCTTGTTCATCACATTCTTGAGGATATTCTTCTCCGTGCGCCTCGCCATAGGGTTTGTTGTCTTCCTGCGGCTCGCCGTCTTCGTGAGGATTACCGTCTTCACGAGGCTCGGCTGCTTCACGAAGCTCTTCTTCATGAAGACCAACTTCCTCAGCAGGCTCACCTTCTTCCTGAGACTCACCGTCGTCATGAGACTCATCGTTCTCATGAGGTTCCCCTACTTCGTGAACGTCTTCGTTATACAGTGGTCTTTCTTCATGAAGCTCGTCATATCCTGAGGCCCATCGTTTTTATGATGCTCACCAGCTTCGCGAGGCATTTCTTAATGAGGCGGACCGTGCGCATGAGGCTCGCCACCTTCATGCTCACGTTCTTAGTAAGGCTCACCGTCTTCGTGTGGCTACCCTACTGTATGAGGTTCTTCTTCATGGGACTCACAATCTCCATAACGATCGTCATGATGCTCCATTTCTTTTCTGAAGCTTCCCTTCTTCATGAGGCTCACCGTCTTCCTGAGGCTCACATGCTTCACGAGGCTCTTCCTCGCGAGGCTCACCTTGATCATGAGGCTGACCCTTTTTCTGAGGCTCGTGATGGTGATCATCTTCTTTACGATGTCCGCCTCCTTCGTAAGGTACATCGCCCTACGCGTGTACCTTGGTGTCCTCATCCCCGATGTCGAAGTATGTTCTCTCAGCGCTTGTCTCTGCCCTTGGAGTGCTTCTGGGGCTTCTGCTCGTGCTCTGAGACTCTGGCCGCGGGTGCACCTCAGACTTCGAGCCACCCGTCGACGGTCCTCTCGGCGAGCAGGTACGAGTGCTCTGCCACGGTGCGGGGACTCTTCTGCAGCACCAGCCACGCGTGACCTGGCCGCGCCTTACTCATACTTTTGCTACCAGGCGTTGCCTGAAGCATTCAGGGCCTCAAGCCACATCAGACGCGCCTCCGTCCGCCATAAAGCCCAGGACGACGCGATGAGGGATGATGATGATGATGATGATGATGATGATGATGATGATGATGATTATGATGATGATGATGATGATGATGATGATGATGATGATGATGATGATGATGATGATGATGATGATGATGATGATGATGATGATGATGATGATGATGCTGATGATGATGATGATGATGATGATGATGCTGATGATGATGCTGCTGATGATGATGATGATGATGATGCTGATGATGCTGATATTGATAATGATGATGATGATGATGATGATGATGGTGATGGTGATGATGATGATGATGATGATGATGATACTGATGATGCTGCTGATGATGATGATGATGATGATGGTGATGATGATGATGATGCTGATGATGGTGATGCTGATGATGATGCTGGTGATGATGATGATGACGATGATGATGATGATGATGATGATGATGATGATGATGATGATGATGCTGCTGCTGATGATGATGCTGATGATGATGATGATGATGATGATGATGATGCTGCTGATGATGATGATGATGATGATGATGATGATGATGATGATGAGGCTGAGGCTGATGCTGATGTTGGTGATGATGGGAGTGCGGGCACAGTAATGATCTAGCAGCGGCGCACTTGTGTCGATCCCCATGTTATATCTGTTGCCACTAGGGTTCAAGCTGCTCATGAGCGGCTCGGCCCCTGCCCTGCCGCGCCTGGCGCGGCGCGCGGCGCCAGCGGCGGCGGCGATGCCACGCCCTGTACCTGCCGCGGGCGCGTGGCCGACGGACGAGCTGCGTCCGACGCCGCCAGCTGCGCCGCCGCCGGCTCACATGCGGCGTGCTTCGCGTGGTGGCTCGCGACCGGGCGCCGCGGCCGGCGACTTCGATGTGGAGCCCGCGGCCGTGGCGTCGGTCGTCGCTGCGGGGGTCGTGGTGACTCGGCTGCGCGGGGGGAAGATCCCCGAGGTGTTGGCGCTCCTTCGCGATGGCGGCTCCGACCCTGTGTAGGAGTTCCCGAAGGGCCGGCTGGAGCCGACGGACGGCAGCGAGTTGGGCTGCGCGTTCCGCGAGCTCGCCGAGGAGTCGGGGCTGCAGCTCGAGGTGCCTTTGGTGGGTGCGCGAAGCTGGGCGTGGAGACCTACTCCACGGGGCGCGGACGCCGCGGCGGCCCTGGGGCGCTCAAGGATGTGCGCTGGTACCACCATCGGCTGGCCGCTGGCGACGAAGGCCGTTGGTGCCTTCGCGAGGTGCGGACTCGTGAAGTGCGCTTCGCTCCGCGAGCTGCAAGCGGCCACAGTGAAGGGCGAGTTCTTGGCGAGTTCTTGCAACGCGCCGAGGAGGCGCTGAAGCGGGCGAGGCCGAAGGAGCTCGACCTGCAGCCGGGGCGTCGGTCGCCGGCCGCCGAGGCGACGGAGCCCGAGGCCAAGGCGAGACCGAAGCGGAAGGCGCCTCGCGGCAGCGCGGGCTGGGAGGCGCCTCCCGCGGCGCCGCCGCTGCCACCGCCGCCGCCACCGCCCGTGGCTGCGCCCGCCCCGCCTCCAGCGCCGGCGCCGGAGCCGCCGGCGCCCGCGCCCCCGCCGCCCGCGCCCCCGCCAGCGGCCCCGCCAGAGCCAGCGGCGCCATCGGGATCGCCAGAGAGGCCGCTGCCGCCGTGGCGCGGCGGAGACTCTTCGCGCCCGGCCGGGGAAGCGGACGAGGCGCGGTCGGCAGGCCGTGTCCGCCGCCGCCGCGAGCGCCCGCCCAGCCGCAAGGGTTGAGCGGGCGCCAGGGCCCGCCGCGAGGAGCTCAGGCGACAGCAGGGGCTGGGCTGGCGCCAGCGTCCGGGTGCCGCCAGCGACGACGAGAAGGAGGTCGCGGACGCCGAGTCCAGCGTGCCGACGCTGCTGGACGAGGTTGAGGCGGAACCGCCGCGGCGCGCGGCCGGCGAGGCTGGGCGGGGCGTGGCGGCTGCAAGACGTCGAGCTCGGGGCCGTGGCCGCGGCCGCGAGGACCGTGGCTGGGGGCCCGATGCCCCGGCAGTGGCCCCATGACCAGCGACCCAGGCGGGGGGGGTCGCCCGCCCCACTCGCCGCGATGCATGCGTGGGGCGTGGAGGCGTCTGGCCTTCAGGTGGCTCGCGAGACATCTCTCCGCTGCCGCATGGGCGCATGGGCCGGCTTGTGACTGGAGGCCGGGGCCGCTCGCTCGAGGCGCAACGCGATGACGCTCTCGCTGCTCTGAATTGGCTCGCTGCTTACAATTTCGAAACTGGGGCCGCCGTCGCGGAGGGGGGTGCAGGGCGCGGGGCTGTGGCCGCCCGCGCTGAAGAGCTCCTGGAGAGGATGCAGCCGGCGCTGGATGACGAAACCGCCCCATCGCCTCAAGAGGCCATCCGTGACCATCTACAGGGGCGGGCCGCGCGCGAATGCGAGCCCGTCAGCAGGGCGCTTGCGCCCTACCGTCGCGACGCAGTGTCGCTACCCGAGTCGGTCGCTGAGTGTGGTCTCTTCTCGGAGCTGCGCGACGCCTGCTGGCGTTTTACGGAGGGGCATGGCCGACGAATTCTTCGATCGGCGGAAAATCGACAGAGGTCACATGACCGGCCCGTGGCTCCATGCTTGGATCCTGGCTTGAGCCGCAGCTGGCGGCGGTGCGCCGACTTCATTAATTACCAGCCCGCGGGGGCGTGGGCTTGTGAGGTTCGGCCGAAGCTGCGTCGAGCAGCTGTTCTTTGTTTGGAAGAAGGGGCGTTTGAAGATGCGCATGATTCTGGGCTGCAGAAGATGCAGTGGTTTTCGACGGCACCGCGCGCTGAGCTGCTCGCGGCCGAGGGGCTCGCAGGAGTCGAGGCCGAGAGTTTCGAGGGCGGCTCGGTGCCCGTGTTCGTGGGCGTTGCCGACGTGAAGGACGCGTTCCACAGGTTGATTATGCCAGAGTGGCTCTCGCGAGATGCGCATGATTCTGGGCTGCAGAAGACGCAGTGGTTTTCGACGGCACCGCGCGTTGAGCTGCTCGCGGCCGAGGGGCTCGCGGGAGTCGAGGCCGAGAGTTTCGAGGGCGGCTCGGTGCCCGCGTTCATGGGCGTTGCCGACGTGAAGGACGCGTTCCACAGGTTGATTATGCCAGAGTGGCTCTCGCGATATTTTGGCCTGCCCGATGCGCTGGCCGAGGGCGTCGGCGCGGTCGGCCAGGTGATTGACGGGGCCGTCGCCGCTGCAGGAGATGCGATCGCGCCGTTGGCGCGGGCGCTGCCCACGGGGTTCACCTGGAGTCTCTTCTTCTGCCAGCGGATAGGCGAGAATATTTGCCAGCGGGTGCCCGCGCTCCACGCCTCGGGGCCGCTGAGGGACCGCGGTCGGCCTGCCGTTCTCGTCCTGAGTAACGGTCTGCACGAGCTCAGGCACTACTTGCACGTGGACAGCCTGGGGGTAATTGGCGATGGCCGCTCGGAGGTGGAGCGCTCGCTCGCTGACGTAGCAAAGGTCTTTGAGAGCTTCGGCCTGCTGGCGCGCGGAGAAGAGGTGGGGGGCGACGCCGCGGAGGCGCTCGCGGTTGTCCTCGACGGAGATATGCAGCGCACCTCGCTGACGAACAAGCGACGCTAGCGGCTGCACTCCGCGCTCGGACACCTCTTGGACCGCGGGGGGGCCAGCGGGGCGGTGGTGGAGATCATCTTGGGGCACTGTGCCTTCTGCGGCCTGGTGCGGCGACCCGTTTTGTCGTGCTTCAATTCGGTGTGCAAGCTCATCTCCTTGAACTATTCTGTCCAGCAGCCGCTGTGGCCGTCCGCGAGGGACGAGCTGCGGGCTTTCCTCGGGATGATGCCCTTATTGTGCTCGGACTGGTGGCCAGGATGGAATCGACTGGCGAGCGCCAGTGACGCCTCGGAGTGGGGCTTTGGGCTCTCCACCAGCCTCTGGAGCGATGAAGAGGTGAAGACTGCTGGCCGCGCTCGCGAGAGGGGCCGCTTCCGTGACGTCCGAGCGGCGCAGGCGCGGGGGCGCGCGTTGACGGCTGCTGGAGTTGGGGGGCTCGCGGGGCTGCCGCCGCTGGCCGAGGTGGAGCTTCCAGGGGGGACTTCGACGGGCTGGAACTCTGAAGTGAGCTGGGATACCGGCGAGAGGTAACGAGCATGCGTCCGCGGCCGTTTGTGCTCAAGCGGCCGGCCGCCCAGATCTGACTACACCTCAGTGCGAGGTGTGCCATTTGCCATCGAGACCAAAAACCAGTTGCTTGAGATGGCCCGTCGCTCCCGCGATGATCTCCTACGACTGGGACTACCGTTTCTACGATGCAACAGAGCTGGAGTTTTGCTGCGCCTAAGGCGTAGCTTTTGGTCGGACCTACCGGCCCCCTTTCAAACTTGGTAGCGGGGCTGGCCTATGGTGGTCAGCTCTTGCTCTAATCCTCACCATCCACGGCACTATCTGGTGGACTACTGACATGTTGGAACATCAGGGTGCAGTGGGTCTGCGCGGAGGAGTGTACATAACGATGCGCAGCCGCAAGGACACTTGCAGTGCTACCTCTGCTCTCGCAGAGGCCTCCTACTCGAGTCCTACATTCCTGCGCTATTGCACTCCTGAAGTCCACCCAGCTACTCCACCTGGAAACTTCTTTGAAGATACCACGCACGGAAGCGTGCGATGCGACGTTGCGCCGCCTCCACCCCCGCGCAGGCTTGCGACAAACCGCCGCGATCATCAGCCAAACACATCCGACTACGCCCTACGGGGCCATTGGATTGGCATGACTTTCTTTGGTCTCGTATGGGTTGCTATCGGGTGTGCGGTGGGGCGCATGCCTGGCGGAGACGACGCAAAGACAACCGGCCCCACTTGGGGCCCGGCTTGTCAAGTACTTTTCCGCGAAGTCGCTCGCGATGTGCATGCCTGGATCAACGTGGCCACAGGCACTATGACGCCCTCCCAACAAGCTGCAGCACTGCAGAATGGTTCGGGAGGCCTCGCACGGACCATAGCCATGAGAGTTCCCCCAGCAGTTGTTAATTTTGGCGTTAACATAGGTGGCCGCCATACAGATGGTGCCACCTACATCATGTTCCTCTTAAGCACGAAGTTCGATAACCTAGAAGAGGAACGCCAACTCAACTCTGGTACAGCTCTAATTGACTTCCGAGTCCATGCGGGAGACCGGATCGACCAGACTCTGGCGCGCTTCGAGATAGCCCGCTATGAGGCTGAAACGGCAGGCTTTAACACCCCCAACTTCCAAATTCTAACGGTTATTCTGTTCAGCGCCTTAGGAATGTGGACGTCGCGTGCACAATAACTTCTACAGCCACTTAACCACCGCGTGCCGAGGGACCAGCAGCAATTTGACTCTCTGCTTGAACGCATGAGATCATATGTTCGCATCGCTGAGCGAGCCCGTGGCAATATTGGTGGTATCATCAGCCACGGTCACTGTACAGAGACCTTTCGTGCTGAAGCTAATGCAGGGCAGCCTGCTACCAGCGTCTGGAACGACGATCCGCAACCAACGGAAACCACCCGTCTATTAATTCAAAGTCGTGGTTCGGCCGCGGGGTCGCAAGACTCCTGGGCCAGGTATCAGCGACCGCTGGCGACGGCGGCCCCTGCGCAAGCCGCTCCCCTAGTAGGCTCAACGGGGCAACCCGCTGAATCCGACTTCGACTCTGGAACCGACGCCGACGCGTCTTCGGACGACGAGGCGAATGCCCTAGACTACTCCGACATGCCCACGTATCTTACGGAAGAAAAGCAGGCGCAATGGTTATTCTCCGGATATCAGAAACACAAACGCAGGTGGAAACGATGTATGAAGAAGCCAGTTCGTAAGGTACGACGTACTATCCGACGGGCACTCAGGGCAAAGGTAAGGGTCGAGGCAAGGGTAAGGGCAATCGACGGCGACTGCATGGCAAAGGAATGTTAGCTTTCCCGGCATTCCTTACTGGTCCGCAATACGAAGAGTGGCTCCTAGGTGCAGGTAGGAACCGTAGGCGTACTTCAGTCATGGGTAAGGGACGTCGGGGCAACGCGAAAGATGCGAACGGTAAAACAATGGAATGTGATATCTGACATAGCACACAACATTTTCGCCGTGGATGTCCTCTGGGCGATGGGAGAGGCAGTCCGCCGATACATGTGGCTCAAACTGATTCGGACATGCAGTATGTCGACTGGGGGACACTTTTGGCCGACCCAGCCGACAGTTCAGTTACAGTTGTTAACTTCATGGCTGCCAGATATTGGAGTGCCAATATGTCCCTCGAGAATTCCGCCGGCGAGCTGTTCGAGGAGCTACTCACTGGCCACAATGAGATCAACCTGGCAAACTGGCTGGGCATGCCCATCGCGGGGCAACCTGCAGACATTGAATTTGTCGAGAATTGTGATATACCCGCCGAAGCACATTCACAATTCCGGGGGCACCCGCGGTTTCAGGAGCCACAATTCCTGCGACAGACGAGGAAATAAAAATGATACTTGATCCTCAGGTAATTGGTAATCCGACAAAAGTGGAAGTATATGATGATGATGCTTTGCGGGGGAACCCGCGAGATGTTGGCGACCTGTCAGAACGAATCCAGTACGAGCTCGGCCACAACGAAGGACTTCAACTTACATTTGCAGCCGCGGGGCGTTTCCCAGCCGCCAGGAGCGATCGGCAAGCCGTCAAGTCTGGAGACGCGCGGACCGCTCGGACAATAATGATGAAGAGTGGGAAGTTGATCATCGTATGCTACGTCGTGGTCGGATCCGCAGTTATTCGCGCGGACACTCGCGCGCGCGCCCCGGCGGTGCTCGCCCCAGCTGCCCTTAGCGCCCTCGCCATCCTGATACAAGGACCCACAAGACTCCACCGAGGAGGGATGGCAGACCTGCGGTGATTGCGGGGACACCCGCCTGAGAGGGAATATCCTCCAGAAGAGTAGCCAGAAGACGAGATACAGCGTTTTGTCAGCTATAAGACTGCTGGATTATCTCGTCAACGCGTACACCCTGATACGATGCGATGGTGCCAGGGCCAAGGTTGGTCCGAACACCAGATCCGCCACCGGCATTCTCTTCGCACTGTTGAACGGAATGACGAGGGCAAGGTTATCCGTTCAAGCAGGACAGGGGCCGTCAAATCACATGGTGCCCCGTAAAACGGGACAAGAAGAGGGCCATCATCGAAGAACGGAAGCTTTACCAAACATTTTTTTGCACCTGCATCGCGCATGCCGACCGCGGACTTGGCTGGCCCATGAGGCGCCCATCAAGGAGCCCCAACTTCCGCAAGACACCACGGGTCTGGTCCCACGGTGATGGTCGGGGTCGTGTCACCGATCCGAATAACATTCCACGCAGAGGGCAGTTGACGATCCTGGATTACAAGGCAGCCGAAGATCATAAAATAGCCCATGCCATAGCTATATGGGGAACCTTTCTCCTACTCACTACCTGAAGGTATTCAATCGTGAGTGGCATGCGGGGAAACCTGCTTCGTCCAAGCAAGAAGATGACGACCAGCCAGAAGATGATGAAGCTAAAGACTTGGCCGAAGCAGTGGACCCCACTGCGGTGGCCCCTCCAGGGTGCGACTCGGGTTGCTCCGACACTGCCCTCTCCGCTGTCACGGACGTCACTCACGTTGCGGAGACCATCATTGATCCTGTTGACATTGTCACGGATGACATGGGTCTTTTCCCAGGAAGAAGAGTCGTCCACCATGCTGGAATTGTAGGTTGGGTAAAGACCGCTATTGTAATAATGATTCGCGCTGACAAATATGACCTGGCCTGCAGGGGCAAGGCTGCTGTCAGGAACATGGCACTCAGAAAGCTTGATGGGGAGGACCATAACCCTGGCAAAAGGCCTGTGCGATATGGGCCATGGATACCAGCAGGGGCAACGCTGAAGGCACCTCCTCCCAGGCCGAAGACATATCAACCTATTGATATATCTCCATCTTGGGATTCTTCGAGTCAGTCTAAGTCACTCGGACCTGATCAGCTTGCGCCACCGCCTAAACAGAAGAAAAGAAACAGCCCAGGTGATCCCAATCCTGGTAGCAGCAAGCACCAGCTATCTGCGGGGCAATCTGCTGAACGACGTCGATCCAGAAGACCAGCAGTGGCCGCCGCAGCAGCTGTATCTCAGGGCGTCAGCACTCCAACTCCAAAGGGGCCCGTGGCTCGTCGTGGTCCTACATCTGGCCGGACGCACAGGACAGGCTGGACGCCAACACTGGAGGGATCATCAAGGGATGCTTCTTCACCAAAGCATGGCCCCAAGCAGAAGTCATTGGAAACTACAGCAAAGGTATAAGAGGTAGCTCCCAAGGCCAATAAATGCGAGTTCTACGACAGCAGTGAGAAGAAACGCCAGGATTTCGCCATTCGTGCCCCTCGAAGTCCCAGGGGATCTGCAGGCGCTGGTTCATCACCTGCAGGCGCTAGCGCATGAGCAGCATCTGCAGCGGCCCAGTCAGCAAGAAGGTCTGATGAGCCAGATCCGAGTTCTGCGGGGCAACCTGCTCTTGCTTTCGAACTGCCTGCGGGATGTAGGCAGCATTGGGGAATAATTGACACTGCCGACCGAATGAAGATCAACCCAGCGTATCATCCCCGCATCGACGACGGGTCTGGTCGATGCATCGCGGTGAAGTGCGACAGCAAGGATACTGCCGTCATTGCTGATGATGCAGCTCACACACGTCAGATTGTACGCAGCCTCCTACGTGAATGCCCTGCTCCCAGCTTCCAGTCCGAGAAGAAGCACTTGAGGGATACCCTCGACGGATTGAGAATTGTTGGGCCAAACCTGAACTTCAATGAACAGCGCCAGTGCTCAGATTGGCTCACTACACAGCTACTCGTCACAAGCCGTTTCAAAACAACCATCTGCCTGATAGGTTTCTGGCAGCAGTGCCGTCTTTCGACGAGTTCGATGGATGGGTGGAGCTCTCGGAGCTGCTCGGCCACTTGCCACCGGAAGGCCGCGAGCACTACTGCAGCACGCACATGGAGACTGTCCGGCGTTGCCTCAGCAAGCGCCATTGGGCATATCAGGCATTGATTGTGCTGAGCTTGATTGGCATGGTTGACAACGCCGGCATGCAGAAGAACAGACTCCAGGTCCAGAAATGTAAGTTCGCTACCGAGACTAACCCGACGCACTGTGTGCGCCCGCGCAATGGACATAGCAGCTCTGGGATGAGGCGCGCTGAGTCCTTATGCACGAGGATAACTGATTTGACAACCCCAGGTGCGCCTTGCTATTTTATTCAATGTACCCAACGGGCTAATATCCCGAACGTACTTCGCACGGGACTGTCATGCCGCGCTGATGACACTGCCAATGAAAGGGGCAGACAGTTTGTTCATGGATGTCCATATCTACCTGGGGAAAACAGGATTCAGTGCGGCCTGCGCGTCGATTCCGAAGTATTTTTTGTTAACATGTTTTTTTTTTTTTGTAAAAATACGACTTCCCGACAGTCTGGCAATTTGGCGTTCGGCAAATCATATTACCATGACGGCAGGCAGGAACGGCATAATTCCGCCGACCCGCATCGTCCAGCTCATAGGCATCCTGCCTAACTCGGATCAATGTAGATACAACCGTGTGGGACATGTGGACCAATCCATTGTACATGTGGGATAACGAACGGATAAATCTGCGTGATGTTACTCTTGACGACCTATATGAGTTTCCAGATGATGCATCATCGTTGAAGGATTGGTTTATTCCAGAGACCCCCTACAAGTTGAAGTGTTCCGAACCGACGCCCGCGCAGGAGGTCGAGTTCGCCGCGGTATTTATGCTACAAGACGGATACCAATCGGGCGCACCTGCAGGGGGATCAGACGGATCATGGATTCAGGCCCAGAGTGCGGACGTGTCTGGTATGACGTCAAATGGGATCACTCCCAACGACGGGTTGTGCGCCGACGACCCGTGGCGTGCTCAGACGCAACAGTTGCCAGCGCCTGCAGGGCAACCTGCGTCGTCTGCGCCTATGAGCAGGGCTCCGACTCCATTTGGGGCTCCACAGAGTGCTGGGAGCACCAACAGTCTGCAGGCGAGGCTCCAGAGCATTCGGATGGACCCACAGCTCGCATGCGACATCGCCGTTCGCATCGCCGCGTCCACTTTGCGGGGCAACCAGCTTTCTCTGACCACGACGCTGCCCAGAGGACTGACAGTTTGGTGGGTCAGCAACAGCGGATGTACCGGCAGATGCGTGAGGCCGCACAGAGTATGCGTAGGGACGGCATTGACCTCCCTAGCACCAGCTGGACACCACTTCGGGAGTCTGTTCCGGATCCAAATCCATCACCGGACAATCCCAATAAGTACGGATATGTCCCAGCGTTTTTCAGTCGCCCGGCATGCGATCCGACAGCTGCCGGGCGCCCCGCAGCACCGCCGATGGACATCCCGTTGTTTCCTGACTGCCATGCTCAGGTGACGGGTAACCCTCGTGTGGGAGCGCAACCGGATAACCCGTATGTTCGGGTGACAGCCGACGACCTTTATCAGAGCTGACACGCGGCTCCAGATACGCGCCTGGAGTACTGGGCCAGATTCTTCATTGCGGTTATCTGGCTACTCCTATGGATCCTGATGCGATGCAACAGGCCCCCGGCTTGGTAGTGCCATCGTGCATGGGGGAGCTGCGCCCAGAGATCCTGGCCATCCACGAGGCGCAGCAGGCCAATCTCTCAACGCAGCTGGCCCGCCAGCGCCGCAACCAGGAACGGCAGGCAAGCGGGCTAATGGGTCGTGCGGGGCAACCTGCGTGCTACTCCAATTCCGCAGCGTTCTTCTTATACATATCACCGCGATTGTAGAACGTGCTCTATCATGTTGATGAAGACGATGATCATGGGGACGAGGATGAGGATGATGAGGATGAGGATGATGATGATGATGATGATGATGAGGATGATGATATGATGGCGGTGGTGATGGTAATGGTGATGGTGATGATGAGGAGGATGAGGATGAGGATGCGGATGAGGATGAGGAGGAGGATGAGGATGACGAGGAGGAGGTGGAGGAGGAGAAGGGGTAGAAAAGGTGCGAGGACGATGGATGATGATCATGATGATGATGGTGGTGGTGATGATGATGATTATGATGATGATGATGACAATGATGACAATGATGACAATGATGATGATGATGATGATGATGATGATGATGATGATGATGATGATGATGATGATGATGATGACGGTGATGATGGTGATGATGATGATGATGATGATGATGATGATGGTGATGATGATGACGACGGTGAAGAGGAAGAAGAGGATTATGCTGCTTATGCTGCTGCTGATGATGATGATGGTGGTGGTGATGACGATTGCGACGGTGATGGCGATGGCGATGGCGATATCGTTGGAGATTACGAGGAGGACGAGAAGGAAGAGGAGGAGGAGGAGGAGGAGGAGGAGGAGGAGGAGGAGGAGGAGGAGGAGGAGGAGGAGGGTACCTCCCCCCCGAGCGGGCCGGAGGCCGCATTCCAGGGAGGTTGCGGCCGCCGCCGAGGGGGAGGAGAAGAAGAAGTTCACCAAGGAGCAGGCGGGCTCCCCGCCGCGAGCCCGCCCTGCTCGGTCGAACACGCGGGCGCGTGGGCGGTTGACTCCGCCTGGGACGCCGCCTTAGACGCCATCTTCGACAGTTGATGCCCATGTTTTCGGAGTGCTTTCTTCGGAGGTTGATAAACCTCCTACCCTGACGCGTCGATTAGCGAACTGGCCGATTTCGGTTCGCGAGAGGGCGACATTTTTCCTGGTCCAGGTCCGTGGGTTTCGGTCCTAGGCCGTTTTCACCAAATGGTGATTTACTAAAGGGAGGTTTGTCCACCGCCGATTTCCAGCCGTTCTAGGGGTGCCCGGATCGTGCCGAACGGCCGCAGGAGGCCCGGGCTACTGGCCCTTGGAGCACCTCCCCAGACAGCCCTGCGTCGCGACAAAAGGCGCGACGGAAGGCTTGCGGCAGGTTGTCGGCTCTCGAGGAGCGTCACCGGGCCCCCGGGCCAAGAAACGGCCCCGGGCCCCAGGACCAAAAGAGAATCAGTAGGGGCAGGAGGCGGATGAGCAGGAGGCGGAGGAGTAGGAGGAGGATAGTCGGGTAGTCGATAGGAAGTGGAGGAGGAGTAGGAGGAGTAGGAGGAGGAGGAGCAGGCGGAGTAGGAGGACCAGGAGGAGCAGGAGGAGTGGGAGGAGTAGTAGGAGGAGCAGGAGGAGTAGTCGGGAGCAGGAGCAGGAGGAGTAGGGAGGACCAGGAGGAGCAGGGCAAGGCAGAGGAGGGGAGAGACGAGGCGGCGGCAGCGACGAGGAGCTACTGGGAGCCAGGAGTGTGGCCCGCGCTGGGGCGAGCAAGGATGGGGGCGTGAAGCACACATGCCAACATGTGACCTATGGTGCTGCGGGGGCACCGCTTTCAAGGGCCGAGAACGCTCCGACTGACGAGGAATCACTCGGAACCAGAAGTGCGGCCCGCGCTGGGGCGAGAAAGGATGGGAGCGTAAAGCGCACATGCCAACATGTGACCTATGGTGTTGCGGGGGCACCGCCTTTGAAGGACCGAGAACGCTCCGACTGGCGTGCCGCATCAACGAATGGCGTCCGGCGTGTCAAAGCAAGACGCGGGTGCACCGCCGGACGTTGCCGCGGGGAAATCGTCAGGATTCTTACCGAGCACTGGTGGCTCAATGCAAGCAGTCACTCCCTGGTAGTAGCCACTCGTAGCCCGCGCAGGGGGCCCCCGAGACGACCAGAGGCCCAAGGAGCACACCGTGCCGTGCAGGGCTGGCCTCCCGAGCGAGCGCCCGGCAGACGGTGGGAGGCCCCGTGCAGAACTGTCGTCACGCTCCACGCATCCCGGCATCCACGCTCTCGACGGGAAAGCTCCCCTTTCTTGCAGCGGTCCTCGCCGATGCGGAGGAGGAGGAGGAGGAGGAGGAGGAGGGAGGAGGAGGAGGAGGAGGAGGAGGAGGAGGAGGAGGAGGGGGGAGGAGGAGGAGAAGGAGGGAGGAGGAGGAGGAGGAGGAGGAGGGAGGAGGAGGAGGAGGGAGGAGGAGGAGGAGGATAATGGATGCTACTGCCCCCAGACGATTTTCGGTCCTCACCAGAGACCACGTGACATTTCGCTCACTTCCTGTCTTTTGCACGTGAGGGCGAATCCCCACAAGTTTCGATCTTCTCTCAAGACGGTTGCGCAAAACGCTATGAGGTCCTGGAAAGATATTAACCTCTGGGAGGCCTGGCAGAAGAAATGGGATGCCTATGCGACAGGGTCTCCCCTTGAAGAGCCAGCGAGCAACCCTCCCACCTGTCGCTGCCCGAAATGCCCAGTTCAACTCATGTCCCTGAGAGATCTCAATGTCCGCAGGGGAAAAAGCATCTAAATCTTTCCTCGCCCAAATTTCATGGAGGGCACTGTATGTTTGGTTTGCTGGCGTGACTTTCGTACCCCTGGGCGGCTTCACAAGCACGTGGCCAGAGTTAAGGCCCTGCTATCAGGCTTGGTTTGGCACCCTTCACTCTCACGCCACAACTGGGGAGGTGTAAGCTAATTTTGGTCTAATTCGTTTCCAACTTGCGGCCAACCGCAAGGCAGGGAAACACGATCACTTAGCGACCACCCCCCGTGGAGGATAGTCATGCCAGCGACAGCGGCACCAGTCTCTGGGAACCCCCCTCCGATGAAGACGCCGCCCCTTGAGGTAACCCCTCCCCCGCCGCCGCCTGCTTTTTCGATCCAGCGCCCACCTGTGAGGCGACATCTGTACATTCTACATTTGTTCTTGGGTCACCGACGAGCCAACGACTTTCAGTCACAAGTATAAGCGTTCTTGATCAGGCACCCAGGGGACAGTATTGCAGTAAGCATGGATGTGATCAATCATTCAGGTATTAGGGGGCCTCATTCATGATAATTCCGCACTGATGTGGACAGAATGGCGAAGTCAGGGAGAGTTGCAGGAGTCCTTGCAAGACCCCCCTGCGAAACCTGTTCCATCGCACGTTTCCGATCCCCTCCCACAGGGCCCAATGCTCCCCGAGCGAGCACCCCGAGGCCGCTCAGTTTAGTCTCTCGCTTGTGGGGGCTTCCTTACACCTCAGCTGCAGAGTCCGAGCAAGTCCGGTTAGGAAATATGCTTCTGAGGACTGCTCTAGAGTTTGCCGTTGTCCGCTGGCGTTTGTGCAGTCTCTGTGCTGCTGAGCACCCATCGGAACCCTAGGCCCCGCCCGACGCCCCCAGTTCCTGGTGTTTTGATAATGCTCGCGCCTTCCTCGCCCACCCCCACGTGGACAAACATCTTATCCACCGGTGTGTCTTCGGTGCCCCCCCTCTAGGAAGCCCACACATCTCATGGCCGTCCACAACTCCTCGCTGGGTGTCCACCTTCTCGGCAGACCCAGGGTATATCGTTCCTATCACCCTCAGGGGCACCGAGCTCTCGAAGGGGTTGCCCAAGAAGGCATGTGGAAAACTGCCCATGGTAAAGTTTTTCCCGTGGGGCTTTGTGAGTGTCTAAGAAGGTCGTTCGTTCAGGACGCCTTGGCCCGATTCCCCTGGCTTTTCCAGGAGATCCTTGAGGTTCTCGAGAATACGGACATCTCGCGGAGGCTGAAACGGAAACAAGCACCACCGATTCCTGTTTCACGGCGTCGTGTGCTGACCACGACACTGCAAAGTTAGACGTATGACGACGAAGTACAGCTTTCTGATCAATGCGACGTGGATGAGACATGCGACGAATGGATTCCACCAGCGTTACGGCGGTACTACGTCCCATTGGACCGATATCAGACAACCACGCTGTGGATGGAATATATGCGTCAAAACTGGCGACACAATGATAGGACTACGGGCCACAGCCAAACCTAACCATTGTATCCCATCCCAGGATGTAAGGAGTGACTAGCGCTGCAATGATATGATTCCGCTCGAGTGGCCTCACCATGCCTTAAGGTGGGAGTACCGGCTTGTTTGGGAAGGACCGTTGGGCAGGGGAATGATTTGTCTCCGTCGGACGTTAAATTGGCTGCAGCTGCCTGCCGCTGCTGCCACCGCTCTCTCCCCTTTATCCCCTTCTTTTTGCCGTCCACCCTCTGTGATCGGGCTTCCAGTCTCCTCCTTGAAGTTGCGAACGAACGAACGTGGAGAAGGAGGAGAAGGAGGTGGAGGAGGAGAAGGAGGGGGAGGAGGAGGAGGAGGAGGAGGAGGATGAGGAGGAGGAGGACGGCGGGCGGGCGGCGAGCTGGTCCCCTCGGGCGGCGAGCTGGTCCCAGCTGTCCTGGAGACGGGAGGGCGGCCGGCGGATGAGCTCGTCTCATTTGTCCGCTCGTACGGAAAAGATTTGCCTTACGCAGAGCGGTCAGCGGTCATCGCCACCGCGTGGCGCCGCATCCAGCGCACGTTGGTTGTGGGCAACGCCGAGATGATTCTCAGTGCGTGCTAAATGACCCACCAGCACTACGACCGCCACGGCCACCACGACCACCACGACCACCACGACCACCACGACCACCACGACCACCACCAGCTGGGCCGCCTGGACCGCCACGGCCGCGACCACCACGACCACCAATGACCACCACGATCACCGCGAGCATCACGGCCACCACCAGGCCGGCCGTCAGCATTGAAACCACGACCACTACGACCACCACGGCCACCACGACCACCACGACGACCAGCAGCTCGACCACTACCGGCTCGACCACCACGACCACGGCTTCCGCGGCCACCTTGGCTGCCCGCCCGCCCACCGCGACGGCCCCCGCCCCCCGGCCCTTTCCCCTTCCCCTCCCGGCCGCCCCTGCTGCTCCCCTCCTCCTGCTCCCCCCCACAGAGGGCGCGGGCAGCCTTCGGCCCGCGTCGCATCCCAGGGCCTGCCTCAAGACGAGGCTGGCCCGGGGCGCACTGGACCGTGGACGGCCCCCCTCTGGGCGGCCCCCAGAGAGCCAGTGGGGGCGCCATCCCCGCGACTGGGAGGAGGAGGAGGAGGAGGAGGAGGGGAGAGGAGGGAGGAGGAGGAGGAGGAGGAGGAGGAGGAGGAGGAGGAGGAGGAGGAGGAGGAGGAGGAGGAGGAGAGGAGGGAGGAGGAGGAGGAGGAGGGAGGAGAGGAGGAGGAGGGAGGAGGAGGAGGCGGAGGAGGAGGAGGGGCGGTCGCCTCAAAGACAGTCGAAGCCCCAAGTGCGACACTGCCATCCATGTCCACACATCCCAACATCCACGCCCTCGACGGGAAAGCCCCCATTCTTGAAACGGACCTCATGTTTTGGATTCTGGTGATGAGGAGGGGGTAGGAGGAGGAGGAGGAGGAGGAGGAGGAGGAGGAGGAGGAGGAGGGGAGGAGGAGGAGGAGGAAGAAAATTTGAGTAATAGTATTGTGAAGAAGAGGAGGTCGGAGGGGGCGGTGGGGCCGGCCTCCTGGCAGCTTCCCGTGAGCATTTGGGGGCCTCGTGGGGACCAGACTTGCGATCGCTGTTTTCGCCTCGGGATGCCTTCCAACACTTGCGCCCTTCCGAAAGCGTTCCAGCAGCGCCTGGATCGTCCCAAACGGC